GCTGGCCCTGGGGCTTGCTCAGGGCCTGGGCACTGTGCCTGAGCTTTTCTTTTTTGTTTGTTTTGCTTAAGGCTAGCACTCTACCACTTGAGCTACAGCTTTATTTCTGACTTTTTGGAAGTTCATTGGATCTAAGAATCTCTCAGACTCTGCTTGGGCTGATTTCGAACTGCAGTCCTCAAATTGCAGCTCCTGACTAGCATGAGCCACTGGTGTGTGGCACCATCATCATATTTTAAGAGACATTGATTTCTACCTTACAAAAATGGTGAGGAGACAGTGAGCATGACAGCCCACTTCTGCCAAGGCATCCACTAATGGATACGTCATGCATACACAGCTATAGAAAATAATAATGTCTTCCCTTTGATCTTCCAAATCTCTCAAAAGCAGATTGGTCCATAGTCTAAGGATCAGAGAAACTAGAGACTATGCTTTGCAACCTTTTACTCTCTGAAATACGGAGAAATGTGGATTCAGAGGTGCTGGGAATGGGAACCAATAGATAATGTGTAGCATAGCTCAAATTGAAATGTTAGTACAGCAGGGTCCCAATATCTCCTGGCAAGTTTCTCTACTATTCACATTTTACACTAACATGGCATGTTTGTCATGATTAGTGCACCAATATTGGTGACTTAGTATTAACTAGATTCCATACTTATGTGATTTCCTTTTTTTTGTTGCAAGATCTCATCCAGAATACCATATGACCTTTAGTGATCAAGTATCCTTATGCTCCTTTTGGTTGTGCTGGATGTTCTTGCCTTCTTTGTATTTGAGGAACTTAATTATTTTCTCGAAATTGAGTCTTGATATTTAGATCATGCTGGCCTGGAATTTCAAACTGATCTCAAATTGAAATCTCCCTGATTCAGTCTCCCCAGTGTTGGGATGATAGGCCTGTGCAACCACACCTGGTGGCATTTTTTTTCTTTTAATTTTAATAAGCTTGAATGTTTGGGATAAAGGAAAGCATCATGGCAACGACATTTGGAAGAAGGATTTTGATAAGAGGAGGTGAAAGGTCATTCTGAGGGGAGATTGTGGTACAGTAGCCCAGTAACTCTGAAAGTCTTGGAGTATTTGAAGAGTAAGCCAGGCTGCGGGGGGGGGGGGGGGGTGGTAGATTAAGTGTTCCTTTAGATTTGCTGTGTGCCAGTGGCTCATGTCTGTAATCCTAGCTATTCAGGAGGCTGAGATCTGAAGATTGAGGTTTGAAGACAGGCTGTGCAGAAAAGTCCCTGTGATACTTTTTTTTTTAAATATGTTTTTATTGTAAAAATACTGTGGAAAGGGGTTACAGTTACATGAGTAAGGTAATGACTACATTTCCTACTGAGAATTGTTACCTCCTCCTTTGTTTTTCTCCTACCATCCCTTCCCTCCCAATTAATGACTCAAAAAACCAGAAGTGGAGCTATGGCTCAAATGATAGAGCTCTAGCCTTGAGCACAAAGAGGCCAGGAGCAGTGCCCAGGCCCTGAGTTCAAGCCCCACAACCGACCAAAAAACTCTTTAGATTCTACTCTATGGACATAGGTAAACATGAAGGATGTTCATATAGGTAAATAACATGATTGGTTTTGTCTTAAAAACTAACCTTAAAGGTAATTTCAAAGACATTTTCTTTTTGCCTAATGGTAATTTCCAATTCCCCTCATTTACTTCTGCCTTTGTAAATTGGGATTATTTGGTAAGAAATAACAGTTCTTCCCCATTTTTATGGGTATGAAAACTTACAGAAGTAAAAACTCATGGACATGTAGCTTTATCCTGTAGGCTATGATGTAATCCTGTGGTTATTTTTTTTTCACATTGTTCTGGCTTTGGCCATTAGAAGCTGCTTCAAGTTTGCTCCGGTGTAATTGACTAGCCCCTTCACCCCATCTTTTCTTCAACACTCCCCTACTTTCTGGTATCATAAGGTGTTGAAGGATCTTTTTCTCCATCCTGGAATTAACCAAGGAGTGCTGGTTCTTTCTATTTGGAGAATAGCTTATTAGAAGCAAAACATGGGTACCAAGTGGGAATACTGGGCCTCTGTTGTTCCTTGGTCTGGCAGGGGCTTAGTCATGCTCTGGATTGCAGTGTCTTGATCCATGATAAGCTGCATATGAGGCAGACTGTGGTCACATGAGATGATATCAGTTTGTGATGTTGCAGCCATCTGAGCTGTGTGCGTTCACTCTGTGAGGTTTGCACCACAAGGAAATTGTCTAACAAAGTATTTCTCAGGACATACCATTTTGAAGGACTTTGTGGAGGCAGTGGTCTGGGGAGTGACTGAATCAGGGCTACTGAAAAGGTCTTCTCAAGGCTATTGACCTGCTGTGGGCATTAAGCTACAGTTAGATGCAGGAATAAGTTCCAGTGTTCTTCTAAAAATATAGTGTAATTTTATTTATTTTCTGAATTTCAAAACACTGTACAAGGAGGTTACCATGTAACATGTCTATCTAATTGTCCAGCACCTCTTGATTGGTCATTTGTTCCATCATTCTCCCTTCTCCCATCTGTTCTTTCCCCCCATTTCACATTTTTACTTCTTTAATCACATAATGACATTGAGTATTCTTGCTGTATTTGTCCCCATTCACCCACCCCTCCCATTAGCACCCTCCACTACAATCTCATGTCAGATTACTTTTCTTTAAACTGTTAATTGTTCAAAAGACTTAATCCATGGAGTTTCACTCCTGTACATACTATACTTTAGTCAAGTAAATCATATATATATCATATATATGACTCATAAGTCATATATATGCATATGCCTCTGTGTATGCTTACATGGGAGGTTGTATTTGGGGTTTGCAATCCACATATGAAAAAACATGTCCTCTTAGTCTTTCTGAGCATAGCCTTAGTGTTCAATTACACAGCCAGGTGGCTACAGTGAAGAATAATCTATATTTCAAAATAGCAACAAGATTTTGAATGTTTTCTCTACAAAGAAATGATGAACATTGAAGGATTATATTAATTATCTTATTTGATCATTACACCATGTGTGCATGTATCAAAAGAACATGTTGTATTCCATAAATATGTACATTTATTGTGTCAATTAAAAATAAAACTTGGGGCTGGGAAGTTGGCTCAGTGGTAGAGTGTTTGCCTCGCATGCATGAGACCCTGGGTTTGATTCCTCAGCACCACAAAAGCAGAAAAAAACCCAGAAGTGGCGCTGTAGCTCAAGTGTAGAGTGCTAGCCTTGAGCTGAAGAGCTGAAGGACAGCGCCCATGCCCAGAGTTCAGCCCCCATGACTGACAAAAAAATAAAACTTTAAAAAAGAGAAAGAAACCTATTTGCCCAACCTAGCGCACAATGTCTTTTGAAATGGAGAATTAGAGAAGAGTGTGAGAATCATTTCCGGAATAGATTCAAAAGTGAAGGTTAGAAGCAGAATGTGGTAGATGAAGAAGAGTGTAGAATAAAATGCTAAGTTTTTTCCATGTGACAGACTAGCTGGAAGGTGGTGTTATTGGAAATGCTGAAAGAAATGCTGAAGGATGTGCTGATTTGGTGATGAGAAAAGGAATAGGTTTTGAATTATTCAAAATTCTAGCCTGGTTGGAATTAAAGGAGAAAATAATGGATTACATGGGGGTTAGTTTGAGTCAAGTACATGAATGTAACAGTCCAGGGGAAAAATTCCAAAGGTATATAAAGGACCCAAGCTGGGTGCCAGTGGCTCACACCTATAATCACAGTTACTCAGGAGGCTGAGATCTGAGGATTGCAGTTCGAAGACAGCCTGGACAAGAAAAGTCCCCATGAGACCTTTTTTTTTTTTTTTTTCCGCCAGTCATGAGGCTTGAACTCTAGGCCTGGGCGCTGTCCCTCAGCTCTTCAGCTCAAGGCTAGCGCTCTGCCACTGGAGCCACAGTGCCACTTCCGGCTTTTTCTGCTTATGTGGTACTGAGGAATCGAACTCAGGGCCTCATGCATGCAAGGCAAGCACTCTACCACTGAGCCACCTTCCCAGCTCCCATGAGACTCTTATCACCAGTTAACCACTCAAAAGCCAGAAGTAGCACTGTGGCTCAAGTGATAGAGTGCTATCCTTGAACACAAAAAGGTTCAGGGACAGTACCCAGGCCCTGAGTTCAAGTCTCACAACTGATGAAAAAAAAAAAAAAGGACCCAAACTGGACCCTTGAGAAACACATGCCCAAATGGCAAACTGATAGAAAGGCTTTGCCCAGACAATGTCCAAAGAGGAGTATGAAAGGTCTCAGGATGTAGCACAAGTACTTGATCACTTACATAATAAGCAAGAAGCCCTGAGTTCAAGGCTCAGTACTGTAAAAAAAAAAAAAAAAAAAGGAGGAAAAGAATCAGGAAGGCCTTGTAATTTACAAGGCAGAAAAAAGCTTGATGGAATGTACAGTAAGTGCTCTGGACAAGCTAATCCAGGATGGCGTCTGAAGGCATAATATATGTGCGTGCGTGTGTGTGTGTGTGTGTGTGTGTGTGTGTGTGTGTGCATGTGTGTGTTTTTTTCACTGGAACTTGAACTCATGGTGTTGTCCTCTCATTTGGCTTTTTCCTCCACCACATGAGCCACACCACTACTGGTTTTTTGCTGGTTAATTGGAAAGCCTTACAGACTTTAATGCCCAGGCTGGCTTCAAACTGCAATGCTCAAACATCAGCCTGCTGAGTAAGGGAGCATTCTTGGGATAGATTTTCATGCTCACAATGGATCCGGCAAAATGAGCAGGATGGTTTACTTCATGTTTCTAAGTTGCATAGCTGGTTTCATGTTCAGTTTGTGATGTGAAACAATAAAAAGTTCAGAATTGGGTACAGGCCAGGGTGGCTGGAAATCAGATGAGGAACAGTAGCAACACAGGACACAGAAATGGGCTACATTGGCACAGGAACCTATACCAAGTGGACATAAGCCAGTCAACTACCCCCCCCCATACACACACACTCTCAGTTTCCATACTTTTTATGCCTCATTCAGACCACCAAGTGAAATAGGACCATGACTCATATGTTCATCCTGTGTAGGGATTTTAATAGCCTCCTAGGAGAGGGTCTTTCTCTAGTAGTACAGTGGCAGGTACCTGGAGGTACATGTGTGCTCAAGATGGTACCAACATCAGTAATTAGACTGTGATGTGTAGAGGGCAGTTGCCTAGATTTAAGGTGACTATATTGAAGCTTGAGACCTTCTACGGCTTCAAGTTTGAAATATTCACCATTCACTGGAATTTAATGTTCAATATGCTAACACTGTTTCAACTTCCAAACAAGTTGTTTTAAGATAATGCAGAGTCAATCCAGATGCTGGCAGCTGGAATCCTAGCTACTCAGGAGGCAAAGATCTGAAGATTGAGGTTTGAAGCCAGCCTGGAAAGCAAAGTCCATGAGACTTTTTTTTTTGTCAGTTGTGGGACTTGAACTCTGGGCCTGGGCGCTGTCCCTCAGCTCCTCAGCTCAAGGTGAGTGCTCTACCCCTTGAGCCACAGTGCCACTTGTGGTTTTCTGGTGGTTTTTGGAGATAAGAGTCTCACAGACTTTCTTGCCTGGGCTGGCTTTGAACTGCAATCCTCAAATCTCAGCCTCCTGAGTAGCTACAAGTGTGAGCCACTGGCACCTGGCTCATGAGACTCTTATCTCCACTAAACTATCAAAAAAGCCTGAAGTAGAGCTGTGGTTCCAGTAGAAGAGTGCTAGCCTTAAGCAAAAGAAGCTCACGGACAGCACCCAAGCCCTGAGTTCAAGCCCCAGGAGTGCCACCAAAAACAACGAAACAAATAGCTAAACAAACAAAAATCCAACACAGCATTCTTTCACTCATAGACTGGGGGCTGTTTAAGATAGTAAGACTCATTAAAAAAATTTCCTTCAGCCCAAGGGGTTCTGAGTAAACATCCAGGTCATTTGTTTCAGCCCTCTTTCCCTATACATATACCCAAACAGCTTTGCATATCTTTTGTTATTAAGGTAAGACATTTTCCATTTTTATCTACTATCCCAAATTCATCTCACAAGAAGAGCTGTTTTTCAGGTATCATAAGCATTCGGTTCTGAGTTTTCTTGGTTTGCTAGAGACACTGAGGGTTGAGTCTGAGTCACACACATTTTATTGCATCGCCCCTGGCATGAGATCCCATATACATTGGCATCTTCTCAGAGTGAAGTTGACTCTCTCCCTCTTTCCCTGTTCCAGAATTTCCATTGGCATGTGGTGATTCCAAAACCTTTTGAGGCTCATTTGGATTGGCTCTGCCTATCTCATCCAAGCCAAGTTCACTCTGAGAGGTCCCCTGTCCTTTCGTGAATGGCCACAGAGGCTTTTGCTCTAGGCTCTGCACTCTAATAGCATCTCTTGCATGGACTATGCCAAGGCAGTGCTTTGAAATATGCGTCCATACTGGGTGGCTTTTCTTGCTGCCGTTTCTGTTCTTTTTTTGTATTGTAGGATCGGGAGACTCACCGCTAGAAGACCATGAAGTCGATTATTCTCACGCTAGATATGAAGGTGACTGCTTTGCTTCTGTGCTAATGAGGACCTGCTGATGCCAGGAGAACTTGCCTTTTTGCCTTGCAGAGCAAACTGTAATGAAGTGGCCAGACAGCACATTGAAATTTGAATTACCTATCCAGGACCAAGGTTTAGAAATAAATGCATATGTCCTCCTATTTAAGCACAAAACAAAAACAACCCAAAAAGCAAAACACTAGGAAATCAGTGAAGTGCTGTCCTTCAGCACCCCCATGGTCATTTCTTTCTCCTGTTTCTTTTCTGCCCTCACTTCTGCAAAGGCAAGCTCAAGCTAGTGAAAGTGAAAATCAAGGGCATAGTTCTGCCTGATTCATACATTACAGCCAGAATCATCCAGAGTAAACCATCCAAGGTCACTTCTGGACCAAGCGCTGCTAATGTACTGCACTGAATGGGGAATGAGAAAACTTGATTTTCACAAGCTTGGCTTATTGTGCTCTTTCTGAGCCCAGCATGGCTCCTAAAAAAATGATAAGTAAAGTGTGTTGCTCAAATGAAGCTTAACTTAAGGAGAAAGAACTCCAGGCCTATATATTTCCAACAATCTATCACCAGCAGGTATAAAAAAGCCTAATCAAGAAACTTCTGTGCAGGCTCAGGTAAGTATGCCCACAAATATTTCGACTGCTGAAGTTTAGGGATCCCTGGGGGCAAAATAAGTAAAGGTAAATTTAAATGTTTTCTTTTTTCAAATTACTTTCTCTTCTAGTGGAGGAAGGATTGGAGGGAAATTGGTTAATCAAGTTCTATTGTGCCCAGGAAAGTGGTCTGGGTTTTGGCAAGAGGAGTCTGACCAAATCTTCTGTGATATGTCTGAGTTATAGGAGCTTTGGGTCAGCCTTTGGCTAAAAAGTAACCCTTACTTGTTTTCTGAGGAAGTGGACAATCTTTCTAAAGAATAGCTTGAGTTCAGTGCCTATGCCCGGGCATGTTGCCTGCTATATACTGTATTTGTTTTGACTTATTGATGAAAAAAAAATTCTTCCCTGCAGTGCTTATCTTCAAACCCTAGGAGTTAGCCACTCAAGCCAAGCACGAGTTTGTTAATCATATGTTTCAAGTAAAGAGGTGCTCTAATTCATTAACCTTTTTAATTAATTTAAAAACTTTTAAAGCTCTTTGTAGTTGTATGCTGGTGGCTCATGCCTATAGTCCTAGCTACTCAGGAGGCTGAGATCTGAGGATCACAGTTTGAAGCCAACCCAGACAAGAGAATCTATATGAGGCTGTTATCTCTAGTTACCCATCTAAAAGTCAGAAATGGATGTGTGGCTCAAATTGTAGAGTGCCAGCCTTCAGTGAAGAAGCTAAGCGTCAGTGCCTAGGTACCGAGTTCAAGTCCCAGTACCAGCATAGGCACACACAGAAAAGCTCTTTGCATTCTAAATTCCTTGTAGAAAAAAGTCTCCCTAAAGCACATGCATGCACTAGGCCTCCTCATATACACTGTTTGAGTTGCCCAGTGCTCTCAGGCCAGTGTTCACCCTCACTGCCTAGGTAGAAGGTAGACCAGATGGAGAAATGATGTACTTCTCTTTTTTAGAACCTTCTCTGAATGTTTCAAATAAAATTTTCCTAGGAGATCATTTCTATTTTCAGTTAAATTACTTATTATTAGTAATAATTTTACCACATATGTGCATATCAAAACATTCCATACACATTAAATTTATACAAAAAACATTTTTAAAGTATTGTCTTATGTTACAATGGAGACTTCATCTAGGGACTCTTGCATGCTAGACAAGTGATCAATCCCTGAGTTACATTCCAGTCCTTAAGTTTTTTAATTTGAAAAGTTGGAAGTGAACTTTTATTAGCCAAGAATTTAACTCTACAATCTCAAGCCCCAGAACAGAGTACAATAGCTTAATAAATGGTTTCAGCCGGGTGCCGGTGGCTCACGCCTGTAATCCTAGCTACTCAGGAGGCTGAGATCTGAGGATCTCTGTTCAAAGCCAGCCCTGTCAGGAAAGACTGTGAGACTCCTATTTCCAATAAGCCACCAGAAAACAGGAAGTGGCGCTGTAGCTCAAGTGGTAGAGCACTAGCCTTGAGCTGAAGAGCTAAGGTGACAGCGCCCAGGCCCAGAGTTCAGGCCCCACAACTGACCAAAAAAAAAAAAAAAAAGGTTTTGAATTAAGTGAAATTAAATTAAAAAGAATAACAAACAAAAATGTGCTTAATATTCACTGTATTCTCAGGACATAGCAAGTGAGCACTACTTTGGTTCTTTTCCTTGAATACCATTATATTCAGACTAATTGAAGGGAGGGGGAAAACATGTAGAGCTATGTCAGTATCATCCCGGGTTTACAGAGGATGGAACCAAGGATAGGTGATGTGCTCTGAGGCACACAGCTGGCTCACATTGCACTTGAGTCTAAACAGGTGTTTTGGCTTGTATCCAGACTTCATGAGCAGCTCATTAGTCTGTTCCACTATGCTGTTTACCTTATGATCTCCATTTAATTAGAATGCTTACCACATTGGCTCAGGGGGATGAAAAGCTTTCCTCAATAATCAATCTAGATCTCTACTTAGGAAACCTTGTCTTAAATGAAGCAGCACAGGCACTTCCTTTTTCTAAATCTCAATGTTAAACATTTTGTTAATTTACTTTAACTCACATGCTCATGCACACTTTGCATTCAGATCATTCATTAACATTTAAATTATTATCGAATTATTATTGAAATGTCTAGGGCTGTTAAACTGCCAAAATATCTTCAATAGCTTTCTTGGGATGTTATCCAAAAGAAAGAAATTCCGTTCACAAATAAATGAAAACAAGATTTATTTCACCACATGTTGACAACAGCACTGATTTCTTTGGATGTGGAACTAGAACTATTAGAATTTGAAGCCTGAGAATAAGGCATCAAATCTGCTAGTTCCATGTTGCATTGACATATGTGGTCTTTGTATACATATATCATACCTAAGACTACATGTAGTCATAGGTATAGGTAGTACATAGAGACTATAAGTACACAATCTGAGAAAGGAAATATAATTCAAGGAAAGCCTGTATACCTTGTGTGAGCTTCTACAAGTCTTCAAGTTTATTCCATTCTAGGGAATGTCCTTCAAGATAAAACTTTTACCCAGAAAGTCCAGGAATAGTTACTTGAGTTTAGGATCCACTTGCAGCTGTTTGAGAAAAACAATATGATAATAATATAGAAGTAGTGAAAGCCCCAAGTTTTTTTTTAAAAAAACAGTGGGGGGTGGGGCACATTATGTACAAGATCTGAACAAGACAGCTGTTTTTTTGGGGGGGGTCTGGTCATGGGCCTGAACTCTGGGCCTGGGCGCTGTCCCTCAGCTTTTCAGCTCAAGGCTAGCACTCTACCACTTGAGCAACAGGCACTGGCTTTTTTTTCTGCTTATGTGGTGGTGAGGAATTGAACCCAGGGCTTCATGCGTGCAAGGCAAGCGCTCTACCATTGAGCCACCTTCTCAGCCCAAGACAGCTGTTTTTCAGAGCTGAAAAGCTATCAAAAGCAGATCCTCAAAATTCCTAGGAAGGTGCTATTCTCCATTGTGGCCACATGATGGCCTACTCACCCCATTCACCGTTAGTCTAACTGTCATTGGGGACTCATGAGACCTGCAGTGTAGGGAAGCAGCTCTTCTACATCACATTGAAAGAATTTCACTGGTGCCCACGGATTGTGAGAAATTGATGCAATGGCTACTATGAGAACTTTCCCATCAAAGAAACACAGAAACACATTGCCCTTAAGTTTTATGGCCTTTCTTCCCCCCTCTCCGCCCCCCCCCCGCCACAAATATATACACACAGAATAGGTTAAGACTGATTATTTCACTTTAGCTATACTCTAATTGTGAGAACAAAATCAAACACCCTATCATTTAGTCCTCTGGGGAAGGTGTTTCTCTCTAACGTAAATGAGGCATAATGAGGACATCTGAAAAGTGGGGGTGGGGCTGTTTCCCTGTGGGGAGCAATTGTTGTAACTGTTAACCAAAAGGATACCCTGTTGCAAAAGCCTAGAAAAAAAGCAGCCTAGTGCAAAATAGTAAACAACAGTATTGTGATTTACAAAGAACGTGTATAGCTGGAAGAAGTCGAAATTAATGAATTATTGACGCATCCCCCTCCCAACTATGTATAGATGGCTAGGGTTTGAGTTCACAATATTGATTACCCTTAAGAGAGTCATATCTAGTTACAGGTAATACTAGAAAACACCAAGCATTTCTTGAACAGCATCATTGACTCAGAAGTGGAGTAACTTTCCCAAGATCTCACAGCTAGTTACAGAGGAACTTGAGCTCCTCTTTAGCCATGCTTGACACTTAGTCCCCCATTCATAATCTCCGTATCCAGAGACACAGCAAACATGGGGCACTACTGGAAATCTGTACTGCAGCAGGCCTGGGAGCATAGAGTGAGGGAATAGAATTTCTCAAGATGTCTCGTTCTATCTTCCCCCTTTGTTTTTGCTATTTTAGACACCCCATGGTGCTCCCCCATCAAGGTGAGGTATGGGGATGTGTACTGCAGGGCCCCTCTTGGAGGATACTACAGAACAGCCCTGGGAGCCAGGTGTGACATTCGCTGCCAGAAAGGCTACGAACTTCAAGGCTCTTCTCAGGTGACCTGCCAGCCAAATAAGCGCTGGTCAGACAAGGCCATCTGCAAACGTGAGTAGCCCAGTCCTGTGTCAGGTCTTCAGGGCCAATCAAATTCAGACTTCCTTTGGGAGGGAAGGAGGGTGGAAGGAAGGAAGGGTACATGAAATAAAACAATAAAAAAAAGTATTCTTCAAAAGTGTGGAGTTTAGAAAAGCAGGAATCATTGAAGAAGTGATTCTTGGTCCATAGAAGGAAATGGGCCTGGGAGAGAAGGTGGGGCTTCAAGGACTTTTAGTTTCAGGAAAAGTTCTCTCTCATTTTGAATGATGCACGTGGTGCTGTACTGTTGAAGCCCATTTTATTTTACTTATTAAATGTTTTTTGTCTTGTAAAGGTGATGTACAGAAGGGTTAACAGTTACCTAAGTCAGTATGAGTATTGTTCTTTTTGAACAGCGTCATTCCTCCCTCACTTTCTCCCAATTTTTTCCTCCCTTTCCCCAAGTCGTAGGGTTCATTTCCAACATAGGGTCTAGTGAGTATCACTGCTGAATTAGTTCACCTTTTGTCCCACCATTTGGGTGGGAAGCCCATTGTAGACACCTTTTGTTATTCAAAACAGCCACCACCTCTGGAGTATCTATAGGTTGCCAAGCAGGTCACACACATTCAAGTTTTGCAGCTATAGTCCATATGGGTGCTTTTATTTTCATAGCATTGTTCAGGATACTGAGGCTCAAGTCTGCAATCTTGTGATCAAGACATAGAGACTATGCAGCTCGTGGCACTGGTAGACACTTAGCAATGTTAATTAACTCAGTTTATCTGGTGGCCTTTTAGCAGTTTGGAATATGTCTCCCACAGCTTCTAAGTGACTTGCTCAGAAGACAAAAGAAATCTTCAACCTTCCTGGAAGAAAAGGAAGGTGATTTTTCAGAGGTCTTGTAAGAAACTGCTATCTCTCTCTCTCTTTCTCTCTCTCTCTCTCCCTTTTGCAGTTCTACTTGTCATTTTTAAAATATATATTTTATTATCTTTAAGTAGTTCTGCAAAGGAGTTGCCATTCCACAAAGTCGTTTATGAATAATACAATGCGTCTTGCACCCTTTTAAACATGTTTCTCTATTCCTCTCAACTCTACCTCATAACCCCAGTTTTCTTAATTTTGTAAGCTATGCATTGAAAAAGAAGCTTCCTCCTGACTGAATGAAAAGGGCTGAGAAAAGCCAGCTTCCTTGCCTAGAGGCAGATACATTGGGAGCTGCCTCAAGAAGCTCTCCTGCAGGAGCAGGCAGTGGTTGACAGGGCTTGACTGCCTCTTCTTCCTGGTCCTACTTCCTTTCTCCCTAGGAGCACTTCCTGTCTTAGCCATTTCTACATAATCTCTTACCTCAGGCTCCCCTTCTGGGAAAGTCAGTCTAAGACAGTCTTGGATAGAGGCCAACCTATGCCTGTCTGGCCTGAAGCTTTGTGTCTCTTCCGTGTGATGCAGAAGCAATCATGCACTTCTCTTATTCCATCTGCTTCTTTTTTTCCTGGGGGAGGGAGGAAGGGGACAGTTCTGGGGCTTGAACTCTGGATGTGGGCACTGTCCGAGAACTTCCTTTGAAAAGGCTAGCACTCTACCACTTGAGCCACAGCACCATTTCCAGCGTTTTCTTAGTAGTTTATTGGAGATAAGAGTCTCAGACTTTCTTGCCCTGGCTGGCTTCAAGCCACAATCCTCAGATCTCAACTTCCTGAGTAGCTAGGATTACAGGTGTGAGCCACTGGTGCCTGGCTTCCATCATCATTTTAGTGTGTGCTTTCAGAGTTTCTGGATTCTGAATCTATGAACATAAACTAAGAAATAATATAAGTATCCAATTTTCTTTCTTGCAGAAAAGCGATGTCCTACCCTTGCCATGCCAGTCAACGGAGGGTTTAAATGTGTAGATGGTGCTTACTTTAATTCACGGTGTGAGTACTATTGCTCTCCAGGGTACACATTGAGAGGGGAGCACAGGGTCACATGTATGGACAACAAGGCCTGGAGCAGCTCACCAGCCTCCTGTACAGGTAAGAAAGTGTCACAGTCCTCTTGAGGCGCATGCGTTCAGGAGGAGCAGAGGGTGTTCATCCAGTGTATCTGAAAAGTAGAATTGCTATTCTGCATATAAAACAAAAGCAGCCAATTTTGCATTCAGGTGTTCTCTTCATCAGCTATTTATTTTCCTATTTGAAGCTATGTAGTCAATGTGCTGTAGATAAGAGACTGGCCGGAAAATATGATTAATAACCTTCCAAACTAAAGTTGCAACCTGAACCCTAACTTGAATCCATGTGACAAGGGTAATAGGTCCACATAAGTACTCAGATAATTGGATCAAATATTTTTTCTAGGCTTTTCTTCTTGTAGTAGTGATGTAGGCATCTGTATTGGGCAGTAACCAGGGCCATAGAAAACACTTTAGGTATTTCAAACAGAAGGAAATTTAATATACACACTTGATGACATGAAAGTGTAGTAAGAAGTCAGGCACTGGTGGCCCTCACCTGTAATCCTAGCTACTCAAGAGCCTGAGATCTGAGCAACAAGGTTTGAAGCAAGCCCCAGACAGAAAAGTACCGGAGACTTTATCTGCAAAAAACCAGCAAAGAGCTGGATTGGTGGTGTGGTTCAAGTGGTACAGCATAGTTATGAACAAGTACTCATTGAAGCTGTTACCAATGACTTCTGCTGCCTCTGCTTTCTCATTTCATGGGAGTGCCTCCAATTGGCAGATCTAACTGGCACCCAGCAGGCAAAAAGAATCTGTGCAAATGTCATTCTGAGACTTTTAATGCTGTCAGTAGGCCTGGGTGCTGTCCTGAGCTCTTCAGCTCAAGGCTAGTGTTCTACCACTTTGAGCCACAACACCATTTCTGGTTATCTAGTGGTTAATTGGAGGTAAGAGTTTCACAGACTTTCCTGCCTGGGATGGCTTTGAACAGTGATCCTTAGATCTCAGCTTCCTGAGTAACTAGGATTACAGGCGTGAGCCACCAGCATCTCTTGAATCTTAAAGTGTCCAATGAAAAGAAGATTGCTTCATAGACCTGCTTAATGGCTGCAGGTGGAAGATGCCAAGGGGGTGAATTAGGAGGTGACCTAAAGCCCAATTGTTGATATGAGAGGGGAACTCACAGATGTTGCTTTCAGTATTTCTGTGGGTTTGGGTATGTGCAAGCTAGCTCTAGAAAACACACCAAAGGGGAAAATTTGAATCTCTAGTCTGTCATATTGGGAGGGGCAGAGGTGATGAGGATGGGGGAGAAACTCACCACCCTGTCTGTTAAGCAAGTTTTGGCAGAGCACGGTAGAGATCATACTGTTCAGATTTCCAGATTGTGCACAACAATGGAAAAAAAATGCTGATTGTTCCCGAAAAGCAACAAGCATATCTAAAGCCAGACCAGCTAGCCCTGGAACCTTCCCAAGGAGAGAGAAAAAACATTAAGAAATAAATCCCAAGTTTAGGGGATTTCACTTGCAGTTTGCTATGACAAGGTTCATGCATATTAGGGGGAAGGGAAAATGTGCATGGAGTAGCTAAAAGGGGTACAGCTAGCCACAAGAGAGCTTAGGGCTTCCAGGAAAAGAGAGGGACAGACAAAACAAGCAGGCAGTACTTTCTTTGAGTGTGGTGACAGACACGCTGGAATTTGTCCCGGGTGAATTGCATTCCAAAGCTATCATTTACTCTTTGGGCTTTAAATATATTAAAATCATTTAATAAGTTTGTGTGTTGGCAGAGTTGGAGGACCTTGAGCCTCATTCAGAGCCTCCGCTTATTTTAGGAGCTGGGTAAGGTCCCAAGTTTCCACACAAGCTTGAAAAGACTCATCCTGGTCAGAGCTGTGCTGAGTGCTGAGAAAGCAGACCCAGTTCTCTTCCAAACTGGGAGGGAAGAGGGAATACTGGGCTTTCTTTTGACTCCAAGGTGGTCAACTCTGTGGTCTGGCTAATTTGTCTGTGCCACGAGTTAAAGTTAATTCTCTTATTCATACTGGGCTCTGGTGATGGATTCAAATTTATAGTTCATCAAAATATTTTCCTGGGCCAAAACAGGAAGAAAAATGTAGTTTTTTTTAAACGTGTAAAAAAATGGGATTTGGATTCAAGACCCTAAGCTTGCTAGGTTGGTGCTGTTACCCCTTGAGTCACAGTTCCAGGTCTGCCTTTTGCTAGTTAGTTTGGAGACAGACTCTCACAGATTTTTTCTGCCCAGTTGGCTTCAAACAGTGATCCTCCAGATCTCAGTCTCCTGAGTAGCTAGGATTACATACATACATAAGCCAACAGGCACCTGGCTGACACATGTCTTTTTATATGCAGAGAGTACCCTTTACTTGCTTTACAAATGTCAGTATACAAACCAAATTGTTTGAATTGATCTCTTCTTATTTTGTGTTTCCTACAAAGTTTTTGTAACACAAATGAAATTCTGGAATTAAAAAAATTCTCTGAGAGTTAAGATATGCAAATTGTGGCATACGTTTTGTTTTCTTCCCAACTGTTTGACAGATGGGTATACCCGATGACCCCCATAGGAATGGTTACAGGGCTGCGCTGTAGTTTAGGCTTGATAATACAACTGTCAGTAGAGCTAGGAATAAATATGTCTGTGTTTTGTTATGGATATCTTAAATTAGGTTAATGTTTTTGGCTTGTCAGATGTATATTCTTTTTACTAACTTGAAAATTTGAGTTAAAATTTTTTTTTTGTTTTACAACAATTAGATTAGTTGAGATTTTGACTCAATTCCCATCTTACATAATTCACCAGTGCAAACTAAACAGGTAAACTTTTTAGCAGAAATTTCAGTAAATTTTCAGTTGTGTGACTTTCAGATGAGGATGGTGACTTTTAGTTTTGCAGTTCATTGCTTTCTTGCTTGTTTCTTTTGTCACTTCTAGAAAGTTCTCTGAAACCAAAGAAATGAAGCACTTCCCAGAGCCACCGCAAAGATTGCACTCTGGCTGAGGGGAACAAACATTTAGAGGAGTCTTCATGGCCAAGTTTGCTCTGTCTTGTCCAGTCACTCAATTCCTAGGCCCCTGGGAAATGAAATGAATTCCTCCTGCCTCCATCACCAACCTCAGACTCTTTTACATTTACCTTAGCAAATTGCTGTGCAGCAGACCACCTAAAATTTAGGAGTTTCAGTTGAATGGGGGCACATATAGGCATATATATATCTATGTATATATATATATATATATATATATATATATACATAGATATATATATGCACTCATATAAGCACCTCAGTTGGAGTAAGCTGTACTGACTGGATGGAGTCTCTGTTGAATTGGTCTCTCTCTCCCACCTATGCTGTGTAGCCACTTTTAGTCAAATGCACTGCTTTATATGGCAGCTGGCTTCCAAGGAAGTAAGAGCAGAGGTTGCTAGATTCTTGAATGGTCTAGATCTATAACTAGTTTAGTTTTACTTCCCTTGCATTTTATTGTTCATTGTCCACCAAGATCTTGTCCTCTTGAATCTCTTACTGATTTTTATCACCTAACCAGTCAGCCATGTTAAGGATTCCCAAGGAAACAGTTCAACTGCCATTGTTGATACAAAGCAATATATTGGTTTCTTAAACTTGCTATACAAGTAGGAAAATTGGAGCACAGAGAAGAGAGGTGGTTTGTCAGATGTCTCCAGTGAATGGGGCAGAGAGGCGAGGCCAGGATTTTCATTGATGTTTCAAGGTTTCCACACAATAACTAGCTCTACAAACCTCCTGAACCCATCAGGGAAGAACAATTATGTTTCTATAGTAACTTTGTTTATTTCATTCATGGAAACGTATCATAACTTATAAAAAGCTTGGGGGATCATGGCTGGATGATGAATAATAAGCTTAGGTCTCTGGAGCATTGGCTATGGGCAGGCCAGCTGGTCTCATCAGCTGAGAGAACAGCTGCTTGAGGATGCATTCGAATGAACCCTGCTGTTCTTCAAGGTTTTATGGGGAAGCTGTGGCAGGCAATCCCCAAAGAATATATGTGTACAAGTTGGAAGAAAGTACTAGGTCAAAACCAAGCAGGCACACGAAAGCATTCAGCTTACTCAAATGCATTTACAGTTGTAATAGTGTTTTAAAATTTCAGACTACAAGGGAATTCTGAAAGAGAGAAAATGCTTCCTGGTCTATAAATGGGGATGCTACTAATGAGTATTTGTGAACATGCAATGAAATAATGTAGGGATAATGGAAGTATAATCTTTCACATGGAGGGGGTGGTCACATAGAAAGTGGTTAGAAAATATTCCCTATTATTTGTAATGACTCATTCGTTCTTGTTTCTGGTTTTGGAAGAGCTATACTTCTGAAAAATAGGCCAGTTTTGATTGGCCATTGTTAGCCAGACACAACTAGACTCTGAGACCCTTGTCCCATTTTACTATATATTAATTGTATATATGTATTAGTTATACATATATTATTGAGTACATATATTGTATTATATATAATGTATTAGCTGTTCATATTTGTTACATATCAATATAATATATTATATATTGCATATTATATACATGTTATACATTATATATAATATTATATATGTATATATAAATATTAGTTGTACAATGGGGTTCCATTGTGATGTTTCCATATGTGCATACCTCATTCAAACCCCTTCCCAATCACTCCTCCTCACTCTCTCTCTCCCTGTTTGGAACAAATTCAGTAGTTTTCATTGCTGTTTTCATGTATGTGTATAGAAGATTTCAACCATATCCACCATCCATAACTTCTCCTTTCACCCTTCCTAGCCCACTTGTTCCCATCCTCGCATTTCCTCACATTGTCAGTACATTAAGTTGATACAGAATCAAAACAAAATAAGTGTATCATCCAAATGTTTAGCTTGGTTTAGCTAGCAAAGAGTGGTTGCTCCCATGATATCTATCCAAGGAAATCGGGTAGCACGATGTAACTTTACCTGGAAATCTATACCTTCTTCTTGGTCTCCTGTGCAATTGCTTTAAAGAGTTCATCAATACATTTTCTCCAAAACAAATTGCATGCCCTATCTGACCAGCAGGTGGCAGGCATTGTATATTTTTCCTTTCAGTTCATGCAAAGCTGTGGATTTTCATCTGAATTGTGAAATTATGTCATCTATCATGTATCATACTAGAAAAGAGAATTATTTACAAAACAACTGAAAATAGATACTTCAGATGCACAAATAATCTTCCATTTTATAGCACAGTATGTTTGTTTGAGAAAATGTCACTGTCACATTTTTTCACATTTTAATGTATCTGAAATTGACTCTTATCTCACAATTGGTAGGGACTTAGATTCAATAAGATATGGTAGTTATTTAATTTAGCATTAGTGTAATAAGGTTGGAAATTCACACTGCTTTGAAGCATGGCATAGAATTAGAATGAATTTGAATAGCTAGAGGTAAAACTGTTCAGCAAATTGCTCCCAAGTTCTTGCCTTAGATAAAATGAGAAAGTATCAGGGGGCTGGGAAGGTGGCTCAGTGGTAGAGCGCTTGTCTTGCATGCATGAGGCCCTGGGTTCGATTCCTCAGCACCACATAAGCAAAAAGAAAAAACCGGAAGTGGCGCTGTGGCTCAAGTGGTAGAGCGCTAGCCTTGAGCTGAAGAGCTGAGGGACAGCGCCCAGGCCCTGAGTTCAGGCCCCACAACCGGACCCTCCAAAAAAAGAAAGTATCAGTCAAGACACAGGAGAAAGTGTATGAAGAATTTTTCTTAATATATTCCGTCACTCAAAAATGTTTATGTTGAGGGAAGATGGGGGAGGGAAAGAGGGAGAAAAATGAGGGAGGAAGTAACAGGTTCAAAAAGAAATGTACTCATTACCTTACTTATGTAACTGTAGCCTCTCTGCACATCACTTTGGCAATAAAATTAAAATTAAAAAAAAGTTTACGTTTCAAGTAGATACTGGTGGTTCAGGCCTGTAATTCTAGCTATGCAGGAAGCTGAGATCTGAGGATAAATCGAAGTTTGAAGCCATTCCAGACAGAAAAATCCCCAAGACTCTTATATCTAATTAACCATCAAAAAGCCAAAAGTAAGCTGGGTGTTGGTGGCTCATGCCTGTAATCCTAGCTATTCAGGAGGCTGAGATCTGAGGATCAAAGTTCAAAGCTAGCCTCAGCAAGAAAGTCTGTGAGACTCTTATCTCTAATAAACTACTAAAAATTATCTAGAAGTGGACCTGTGGCTTAAGTAGTAGATGACTAGCATTCTCTCTCTCTCTCTCTCTCTCTCTTTCACACACACACACACACACACACACACACACACACACACACACGCACGCACGCACGTGCAATGTTTGTGATTCAGAATTAAAAGCACATTTAATTTTCATTCAGGTGTAATAGTATTTAGATAGTTATTAGTTCGACAAAACAGTATAAAACTGAATACCCCATGTTCTTTCACAGCCATTCTCTACCTGCTCAGGATCAAGTAGAATTTGTAAAATTTTGAACTTCTTGTGATTCCACTTCAACTAGGATGTGATGAAATACAACCTAGTGCAGAATGGCACCTCATTTTTTCTGACTCTCCTTGTTATCACATCTTGATGTGAAGGGGCAGAACTACTTACTGCTAGGTAGAGAAACTTAGTCCTTTGGAGGGCCAGAGTCAAGGTAAAACTGGGAACACAAAGTACAAAACCTCAAGTGGGGTCCAGTGGCAGTTAGAGGGAAGAATGAACCTCATTTCCCTCTTTAAGATACTAAGCATTTACCAGCACAACTATGTTTATTTTTTTTTTAATTTTATTTTATTTTATTTGAGAGCATACTGTACAGAGGGGTTACAATTACATGGGCAGGATAATGCATACATTTCTTACCAAGCATTGCAGCCTCCTCCTTTGTTTACCCTTCACCTCCCTTCCCAGCCTCCCCCCTCCCCCCCACCCAATCCTCCCCCCCCCCACACCGACATTGTAAAGCTCGTTTTTGACATGACATTTTGTACTTCTCATTGTTGCAACAGGTCCACCTGAATCCTTAAACGACTTGTTTGTCCCCATCTCCTCCACAAGTTATACTGACATCAAATATAGGGAAAGCGGGGGTTACACTGTGGGGGAGGGACATACAAAACAACAAAGAAATAATCTTATAAATGCGTTAGAAACACATGCATGAAAGAAAAAAAACATTAAAATACATATTTAAGGGATCATATTCCTAACATCACATTATCTGACCTTTTCCGCTTGACTCATACACATACTAGATATTGCATATAAGGGAAACCATGGGACCTATGTTTCTTTGGGCCTGGCTTACTTCACTTCATATAATTTTTTCCAAGCCTTTCCATTTCCTAACAAATGGGGAAATGTCATTCTTTCTGATGGAGGCACAGAATTCCATTGTGTATATATACCACATTTTCTTGATCCATTCATCTACTGAGGGGCATCTGGGTTGGTCCCATATCTTAGCTATGGTAAATAATGCTGCAATAAACATAGTTGTGCTGGTAGCTTTAGTGTGGTCTTGTTTGTAAACATTTGGGTAAATGCCCAAAAGTGGGATTGCTGGGTCATAGGGGAGTTCTATGTGTAGTCTTTTGAGGAACCTCCATACTGCTTTCCAAAGTGGTTGAACAAGTTTACATTCCCACCAACAATGAAGTAAGGTTCCTTTCTGTCCACATCCCCTCCAGCATCTGTTGTTGTTAGAGTTCTTGATTTTTGCCGTTCTAACTGGAGTGAGGTGATATCTCAATGTTGTTTTGATTTGCATTTCTTTTATGGCTAGGGATGTTGAACATTTTTTCATGTGTCTATTGGCCATCCTTCTTTCTTCTTCAGAGAAGTTTCTCTTTAAGTCTTTCGCCCACTTATTTATTGGGCAGTTGTTTCTTTGAGGATTTGTTGTTGGGGGGTTTAATTTTTTGAGTTCCAAGTATATTTTAGATATGAGACCCTTGTCCGTTGTATGGCTAGTAAAGATCTTCTCCCAATCCGTGGGCTTTCTATTGATCTTGCTAGCTATGTCATTTGCCCTGCAGAAGCTCTGCAACTTTATGCAATCCCATTTGTCCAACCTTTCTTTGATTTGTTGTGTTTCCGGGTCTCTATTCAGAAAATTTCGGCCTGAGCCAAGGAGACCTAGGGTTTCTCCTATTCCATCCTGTAATGTTTTCAGAGTGTCTGCTTTGACTTCAAGGTCTTTGATCCATTTGAAGTTGATTCTGGTGCAGGGTGATATATAAGGATCTAGCTTTAACAACTATGTTTATTGCAGCATTATTTACCATAGCTAAGATATGGAACCAACCCAGATGCCCCTCAGTAGATGAATGGGTCAAGAAAATGTGGTATATATACACAATGGAATTCTATGCCTCCATCAGAAAGAATGACATTGCCCCATTTGTTAGGAAATGGAAAGACTTGGAAAAAATTATATGAAGTGAAGTAAGCCAGGCCCAAAGAAACATAGGTCCCATGGTTTCCTTTATTTGCAATTACTAGTATATAGCCGAGATAAGAAGAAATGGTCAGATAAGCTGATGTTAGGCGAAATGAACCCCAAGATAAGGATTCAAATGTTTTTTCTTCTATACGATTGTTTCTAACACATTTATAAGATGATTTCTTTGTTGCTTTGTATGTCCTTCCCCCACGATATAACTTGTTTTCACTGTATTTGATGTTGGTCTACTTTGTGGAGGGGAAGGGAAAAAACAAATTGTTTAAACAGGGATACAGGTGGACCCATTGCAACAATGAGATGTACAAGACGTTATGTCGAAAAACGAACTTTACAACTTTGGCTGGTGATGGGAGGGTCAGTGGGTGGGGAAGGGGGAAGCAGGGGGGGGAAGGGAAGATGGGAAGGGTTGGTAAGAGGAAACAAAGGAGGAGGCAACAATGCTTGACAAGAAATGTACTCATTACCTTGCCCATGTAATTGTAACCCCTCTGTACGATATTTTCACAATAAAAAAAGGTGAAAAAAAAAAGATACTCAGCATTACTTGGGGACTAGACATAACAGGAAGAGAAGGATATTGCTCAAATTATAAGTGCTCTGTCTTGGGTTATAATGTATACTGCCACCATTGATACACATGCTTTGAACTGAATTGCCCATGCTTTCTGAACCTTAGTTTGCACATCTGTAAAATGAGAGTTGAGTACTTCCCTTACACTTATACAACATTCAAGTTCACCATGCCCAGGTCCCTGCCATTTCCTACCTTGTTGTGTTATATGCCAGCGCATATGTGGTGACATCATCTCCTTAATCTACTGTAAATTCTGACAAGTCGGTAGCAGCTGACTCTTGAATCCCCAACCCCCCGACTTCTGCCACCCCCCGCCCCCCATTAGAATGAAGCAGGCACTTGTGAAAGATTTGTTGCCTTGAATTGAAACAAATTAGATAATAACTAGGGTACCATTCTCTAGTATTCTATGATTTTGACCTTAAAGCAGGAGGGATGAGGTAAAGCTGAATGACTTGTAGCTTCAGTTGAATGACTGTAGTGTCAGCAAGTCTATGGGCAGAGTTTGGAACTGTGGGGAGCTGTAGCTAATGCATTAACATGGGATAGTTAGCCAGGCTAGAAGATTATACATCTCATCCTGTGCAGGTAAGTACTCATACACTCTTCAAAACTCAAAAAAAGCTGAGAAGGTGGCTCAGTGGTAGAGTGCTTGCCTTGCATGCATGAGGCCCTGGGTTTGATTCCTCAGCACCACATAAGCAGAAAAAGCTGGAAGTGGTGCTGTGGCTCAAGTGGTAGAATGCTAGCCTTGAGCTGAAGAACTGAGGAACAGGGCCTAGGACTGGAGTTCAGGCCTCACGACACACAAAAAACAAAACAAAACAAAACCCCCAACTCAATAGGAGAGAGAGAAAGATGAAATGAGGGGGAAAATGTGCCTATGTTAGAGATAAACCCCAATTTGACCAAGTGTTTCTTGATGATGGTGAGGATGTTTTGGTTATGTTTTTAGATATTGATCCTCCTACAATAAAGTGCCCAAGTGTGAAGGAACGTATTGCTGAACCCAATAAGCTAACAGTCCGAGTGTCCTGGGACACCCCAGAAGGAAGAGATACAGCAGATGGCATTCTTACTGAGTAAGCAAAACTTTGGCAGTGGCAATGATATGCACTCTCTTGCTCTGTCTTTGTTTCTTTCTGTCTTTCTCTCTCTCTTTGTCTGTATCAGTGCCTCTGTCTGTCTGTCTGTCTCTCTTACACACACACACACACACACACACACACACACACACACACTGCTGAGGATGGAGCCCAGGGCTTTGTGAATGTTAGGCAAGGGCTGTACCACTAAGTTACACTCCAGGCCTGTGTTGTCTCTTTTGTGAGAAGTTTTACCCAGAGTAGAGGAATGTACCAATGCTGGTTGCTATCTCACATCCTATACATTTTACTTATGTATTTGTTTATTGCCTGTCACCATTACAATACACTTGTTGTCATGTCCCTAGAGGCCAGAACTATGACTGACACACAGTTAACATTCAGTAAATATTTATTGAAGAAAGGAAAGGAAGTAAGAAGGAATGTAGAGAAGAAGAGGAGGAACAAACAGAAGGTACCTGGTTAATCTAAGATAAAAGATCCCCTGTTGGCTGAGTGCCGATGGCTCACGGCAATAATCCTAGCTACTCAGGAGGCTGAGATCTGAGGATTACAGTTCGAAGCAAGCCCAGGCAGGAAAGTCCACAAGACTCTGATCTCCAATAAACTATTCAGAAAATGCTGAAAGTGGAGCTGTGGCTCAAGTGGTAGAGCTTTAGCCTTGAGCACAGAGAGGTTCAAGGCAGTACCAAGGCCCTGAGTTAAAGCCCCAGGATCAGCAAAAACACAAAAAAGATTCTCCCATTGTCTACCAAGAGGGTTCTTTCTCATGCCCCAGCCCTTAATAAACTATCAGCTTCCCTGGAAAAATGTCTGTGTCCCCCAAAAGGAGCCAGGCACTGGTGCCCTGTGTCCTCTCTGGATATGATTTAGTACAAAACTCAACCACTCCTTTTTTATTTTTTGGCTGTACCTATTTCTTTCAAAACTGTTGAGTTTTTATTTGGTTTTGGGTTTTGACCACATCCAACACTTTCAGAAGTTTATGATCAAAGTACAAGTGTCCTTTGCTTTCTTCCTGGTCTCATCCTTATTTCCAAGGGTCCATTGAATTCATAGTTCTCCTTTAAGATATTAAAGATGGGTGGCTCTTTTTGATGAATTTCAGCTACATGTTCAAATCTGTTATATGGGCTTGTACCCTGGAAACTTGCTCCCTGGAGGCCACTATTTCATGTCAGCATGCTTACATCTGTGTCTCGTTTCTTTAATTAATTAATTAATTAATTTAAAGGTGATGTGCAAAGGGGCTACAATTACATAAGTCAGGAAATGAGAACGTTTCTTTTTCAACAATGTTACCTCTTCTCTCATTTTTTCCCAGTTTTTTCCCTGCCCCTTCCCCTCAAGTTGTAGAGTTCATTTTTAACATAATGTGTAGGGAGTATCACTGCTGCATTTGTTCATGCTTGGTCCCACCATTTCTGTGCTCCCACATACCTTCCCTCAAACAGATAAACTTACATACAACAAGCAAGGTGGGAGGATGGGAAGGGATGGGAAGGGGAAACAAAGGAGGAGGCTGCAATGCTTGAAAAGAAATGTACTCATTATCTTGCCCATGTAATTGTAACCCCTCTGTACAGTATTTTCACGATAAAAAAATAAATTAAAAAAAGAAACAACCAAAAAAACCACTAAAGGTACAGAAATAAAAAATAGTGACAAAGGAGGGATAAAACAAAAATTTAAAAAAAATCTTTTGTTTCCCTTTCTTGGAGTTCATTTCAATAAACATCATTTTATATGACCACATGCACATAGCTATCAAGCCTTTGTGATCCTCTTCTGAGAATATCTTCCTTTGGCCTTACTGTGTGAATGTTAGAAGCCTGTTTAATTTATCATATCCAAGTGTAATTTTTGTCTTTTACCATCTGTTGTGTTTACTTGTAGATTTATAGGCACATTCTAATTACTACCAATGAGAGAAAACATGCAACCTACGTTTCATTGGAGCTAGCTTACTTCACTTAATATAATTTTTTTCCAAGAATTTCCATTTCCTTAAGAATGATAGAATATAATTCTTTCTGATTGATGCACAGAATTCCATTGTGTCCATTCATCCACTGAGGAGCTTCTGGGTTGATTCCATATCTTTGCTATGGCAAACAATGCTGCAATAAACATGGTTGTGCTGGCAGCTTTAGTGTGATCTTGTTTGTAGTATTGGATAAATGCCCCAGAGTGGAATTTCTGTGTCATAGGGAAGCTCTATGTTTAGTATTTGTGTTGTTTTGATTTGCATTTCTTTCATGGCCAGATGTTGAACATTTCTTCATGTGTTGATTCTTACTTCTTCTGAGAAGTCCCTAAGTCATTAGCCCATTTATTAATTGGGTGGTTGTTTCTTTGAGGAGATTTAATTTTTTGAGCTCTAAGTATATTTCAGATATGAGATCCTTGTCTGATGTGTAGCTAGTAAAGATCTCCCATTATGTGGGCTTTCTATTTATCTTACTATCTATGTCCTTTGCCATGTAGAAACTCTTCAGTTTGATGCAATCCCAGTGATCTAGTCTTTGATTTGTTGTGATTCTGGATCTTACAAAGTTTCAACCTGGGCCAAGAAGCCCGAGTGTTTCTGTCACCCCTTCCTGTAATATTTTCATGGTATCTGGCCTTACATTGAGGTCTTTGATCCATTTGAAGTTGATTCTGTGCAGGGTGATGTATGAGGATCTAGCACATGTATAGCCAATTCTGCCAGTACCATTTGTTGAAGAGGCTTTCTTCCATTTTGTGTTTTGGCTTCCTTATCAAAGACTAGGTGGCTATAAGTCTGTGGGTTCATTTCCGGGTCTTTTGTTCTATTTACTTCTTTCCCTATTTGGATACCCTTTATTGTCCCTTGCGTTACTGCTTGTTAGGATTTCCAGTAATATATGGAAGAGGAGTGGAGAGGGTGGACATCCTTGTCTCACTACTGATTTTAGAGGAAATTGTTTTAACTGCTCACCATTAAATATAATGCTGGATGTAGGTTTATCATATACAGTCTCTGTTTTGATGAATGCTCCATGGATTCCTAGCTTCTCCAGAACTTTTATCATAAAAGGATTTTGAATCTTGTCAAATGCTTTTTCTGTCTGTATTGAGATGATTATGTGGTATGTGCCTTAAATTTCATGGTCCAGTTATATCTCCTCACAGAGCTTTCATCTGTGGACAGTAGCATGCCCCCAACTTATCATCTGGTGAACTATAAAGCAGGGGAAGACTTTCCAGAGTCCTATCAACTCAGAAAATGCAAGATAATATGAGTCTACATAGTTATTAGTGATAGCAGAGTATCTGCTAGTTAGAAGAGACTGAGTCTCCTACCCCCAGCAGAGAATTTTGTTACTACATCCTGATAATCTTTCCCCAGTGCATCACTTAAAGAACAGTATTGGGCTGATATGTGGCTCAGTGGTAAAGTACTTGCCTAGTACAAGTGCATCGTCCTGAGTTTGATAACCAGTACCAAAAGAGAAAAGACAAAAAAAAGAATAGTACTAGCTGAGTTTATCATTGTAATTCTCAAAGAAAAAGTTTAGACATTAAAAATTTACTTTCTATCATACATACACAGATATATCACAAACACCTTAGGAAAAACTTTAGGTGAGGTATATACACACATATATTAATATATATATACACATATGTACACACATAGAAAGAAAGTATTTTAATAACCATGCCACAGTTGACATATTAAGTATTGGGTTTTATTTACTTCTTTTAAAAAAGGTTTTAGCAAGCATTTATTTTAGTATAATAAAGTAAAAGTAGGGAGAAATAGAAAAGAGAGAAAAACATTTCCTGCTTCCCATTCAGGAAAGAGGAGTTTAAAATTCCTGGGTTTCATTTATCACTCTTTAGGGTCTAGTATATTTGGCCCAGCTCCTGGCACATAGTAGGTTCTCAGCCCTTTGCAGGTGATTGCTTTGGAAATTCTAGGAAGTAGGAGCATGCCTTTGAGGGTACCTGGGCTCCATAGTGAAACCCTGCCTTACCCTTACCTCCTACTAGAAAAGGAAAATGTTCATAGATAATAAACACAAAGCATTAAGTCATCAGATGACCCTTGTTGTCTTAAAGCTTTGTAAAAATCTTCACCTTGGCATTTTTGTGGGTGAAATGTATGATAGGGTTTAAAATGTGATATTTGAAGAAGGCGTTTTCAGAGCCTCTTGTCCCTCTGTTCAGCACAGGTTCTTGCTTTCAGAATTCTGTAGTTGAGTCAGAGCCCACTCAGGCCAGGAGCAGGTGATGTGGGGAAGGAAGCTGCACCAGTATGAGAAGCTTACAGAAGACTCTTCTATCCCCTTTCCAGTTCTTGCTTGGGCTCCATGCCTCTCTGGCCTTTCTCCTGTGGGCCTCCCTTTCACCCTCCATGTCTTCTCCAAGCTGCTGCTGCTTCTTCTTCTTCTTCTTATTATTATATTTTAGGATAGCCAAGGAATCACAACGAATTTACCTTTACTGTCAGAGAGAAGGAGTAGAGAAAATCCTAACACCTTTTGCAAGCCTGAATTGCCAGTGAAGGTGTGGGTCATATCCTTAAATGGTCTCCTTCACAAGCATTCCCTTGTCCTCCAGATAATGTTATTCAGATCTACCTTGGAACAAGAGTGAGATTGGAGGAAGACTTGGGCCTCCATCCTCTGTTATATCCTTCAACAATACACAATAATCAGAAGTTCACAGTAGTTAGGAGCTTCCATTTTGGGATCTCAAATTGCTCTTCTGAAATAGAGGAAAGCTCAAGAGATTCTACTCTTCTAAGTATCTTTGTTCTGTTCCAACTGACCCAGTAGCTTCCCTTCAATATTCCCATAACTTGGTCAATATCTGTCCATAAGAATCATCTTTGATGTTTCTGTTTTGTTTTTCTCTATAAGTGTTATTCTAAAAGGCCTCCCTCCAGGCTCACATTTTCCAGAAGGAGACCACAAGATCGAGTACACAGTCTATGACAGAGCAGAGAACAAGGGCACTTGCAAATTTCGAGTTAAAGTGAAAGGTAAGAGTACTGACCATGTGTTTCCTCCAGCTAGAAAAGCAAAGGAAACAGGTCCTCAAACAATAGATATTAGAGTGCTCCCTACTAGAAGGATCTTTGTTAACTTTGAATTAGGCTCTGATGAGGCTGGAGAAAATGTCTCATCTTCATGCCTGGATTTTTTGATGGGATTCAGGGCTGGTAGATTATGTAAGACATTTTACAGGACTAATCTCACACTAGTCCACAGTTGAATGAACTAGAAAAAAATTACTTGATAACATTTCATTGCTGAGTTTGAGCAATCAGTTAAACTCTGCAAGTCCTTCGATAACTGACATGGTTAGCAGCCCCTAAGCTGGGGTTGCCAGAAGACCATGCTCTTGGGTCTGAAAGAGCAGACCTGTGGTCTGCCTAAAAATTGTTTTCGAGGTTTGCTTTGTGCCTCATGATTTAGACAGCTAATTACTAATTATTCTTTACTCTCCTGGGCTCAACTTCCTTATCTGTAACACGGGAGCTAGAGTAGTTAATCTCAGGAGTCTCACTGGCATAGATGGTGACCCTTTCACGGCCCACCCACTGACTAAATAGCACCCATGCTCCCTTGATCATTCCATGGTTTAATGTAGAAGCTTCATGGAAAATCTGGAGCTTCTGGGTCCCTTGCCTTCCTAAGTTACTCTGTAGGAGGAATCTCCACACTGAGACCCTTTCGGGGTTGTGTCTCTACAGTGAAACGCTGTGGCAAACTCAATGCCCCAGATAATGGCTACATGAAGTGTTCCAGTGATGGCGACAATTACGGAGCCACCTGTGAATTCTCCTGCCTTGGTGGCTATGAGCTCCAAGGTAGCCCTGCCCGAGTATGTCAGTCCAACGTGGCTTGGTCTGGTGTAGAGCCCGTCTGTGCAGGTATGTGTGCAGCCCTCTATTCAGCCAGTAGCAGCACCTGAAGATCCCGTGGTTTTAGATTGCAGAACAGAAGCAGCTTCCTTTCATATACTTCATAAAATTCATTTGCGCTGTTCCTTATCTGAATGGGTGAGCAAAGTCCCTTAGTTCTTACTGTAACATCTCTCAGCTGCCTTCCTCTTTTGCCTCTGCTTGTCCTCTGATTTCCCTGTCATGTCTTCTAAGGAAGAAATTGGAAGTCAGGGTCCAGGGCCAGCCTGTGATGAGTGACATTATAAATCAACCATTTTGCTCTAGTTCCTCTAGTTCTTAGGATGGTGCTTACAAAGCCAGTATACTGCTGGATCCGGACAATATAATGCCTGTGTAGCAGCCCTGGCTTTCAAGTCATATAGACCTTGGGCATTTGGCATCATTCCTTCTGTGAATAATGAGGAAAAGAATACCTTATTCACTTTGTGAGTTGTAATAATGAGATGAGGTCATCCACTGCACAGTAGAATAGAGCAGTACCTTCCACAAGGTAAGTACCTAGCACACACCCACTGTCTTCTTCCTTTTAACATTTTCATCTTTATCCTTTCCTAGCCATTCAGCATAAGTGGTGTATACACACACACACACACACACACACACACACACACACACACATTGTTTCACAAACAAACTAAAATAACATAAATATCTCCAGTTTCATACAGATTGCATATTGAAATGTTTTGGAAATATTAGGTTAGGGAAAATACAGTTTTCACTCTTTTATTTTTGTGCCAATACTGAGGCTTGAATTCCAGTACTTTGAGCTCTTACTTGGCTTTTTCTCTCACAGTAGTGCTATAATGTTTGAGCCATGCTCCTAGTCCAGGTTTTTTCTGCTTCATTGGAGATGGAGTCTCACAAAACTTTTTTGACCAGTTTGGCACTGATCTGTGATCTTCCTGGTCTCAACCTAGCAGGAACTACCAGCAGCTGCTGTCCCCCATTTCTTTGTATTTTTAAAATTGGGCTACTAAAACATTTAAAATCACATAATTGCTTCTATTGAGCAATGCGGTCCTATATTCTGAGCCCATGAGGCAATGAGAGGGATGAGAACTCCATATCACTTGGGAAAATATCACAGTGTCTGTCTTAGAGGCCAGTGAAGAGCAGGCACTCAGTGTTTGCTGGCTAAATGATAGAGTGTTAAGATGAACACACACTTCATTGCAAGTCTAGATAGAGTTTAAAATATGAGCACCAATGATATAAACCATAGGTGGAGTTTGCTCATCCCTTTGGAGAATTGGAACCATTTCAAAGCCACCCTGCTGGTAGCCTATTCTCCCATCCTCCTGTTTCTCTATACCTCCTCTGGCAGACCCTGGAATGCTTCATCCATTTGTCTTTGACATCCTTATCTATGTTCAAGAGGCTACTTACTTCAGTTACCTGGGTATCTTTTGTCTAAGGGCTTTTCCTTGTCTCTGAAGGCATAATCTACACATGTACAAAGGCCGGCTGGAAGTGACTGAGAATGACTATCCCCTGAAGTAGCCATCAACTGGTGATGGAGCATTAATGCTCGAGTTACCTCATTCCTCCAGTAGGATAGCTGTTATGTATGTAACATATCATCTCCTAGAGTTCTTCAGTGGGACTGAGGTCCAGATGCCTACAGCAATAACTTGCTTGACAAGCCACTCTATACCGCTCTCTTTCTTTCCCTGTTTCACTTCTTAAGATAGGAAGAATAATGCCAGTCCCCAATGTCCACATATGAATCCCCCAAACTTGAGACTATACTACAGTATATGGCAAAAGGAACTCTGCAGAACAATGTGACTAAATTAAGGCGATATCCTGGATTATCCAATGGGCTCAACATAATCACAAGAGTCCTTATATAAGGCAGCCAGGACTACTAAAAGATACAGAAAGAGGTAATAGAAGAAAAGTACATACAGAAGACAGATTTTAAGAGCCCACGGGCCAAGGAATGAAGGTGACCTCTACATGCTGAAAAGACAAGGAAACAAATTCAGAATCTCCCCTAGACCACAGCCTACTGATACCCTGATTTAGCTCAGTTTTGAATTTCTATGACTGAAGAAAATCCGTTTATATTATGTTAAGTCTTGAAGGTAAAGGTGATTTTTAAATACACTTTCCCACTCTTACTAGTGCTTCTTCTTTTTTTGGTGCTAGTACTGATGGTTGAACTCAGGTCTGGTCATTATCCCTTAGCTTTTTTGCTCAAAGCTGGTGCTGTACCACTGGAGCCACAGCTCCACTTCTGGTTTTTGGTAGTTAACTGGAGATTAAGAGTCTCCTAGACTTTCCTGCCCAGGCTAGCTTCAAACTGCAATCCTCAGATCTCAGCCTCCTGAGTAGCTAGGATTATAGGCATGAGCCACTAGAACCTGGCTCTTCTGGTGCTCTTGACCCACTTCCCAAATAAACTGCTGAATCTCATTTCCCATGGCAGAGTCTGTTTCTCACAGTTATGACTCTGTGTGTCATCATTTGTTATATCAAGCTGGAGCATGCAGAAGGTTTCTGACCCATGTGACCATTTCTCATTACAGAGATGAATGTTGATGTGAATGTCAGAACAGCAGCTGCATTTCTAGATCAGTTTTATGAGAAAAGGAGACTCCTAATCGTGTCCACACCCACAGCTCGGAACCTCCTTTATCGAATGCAGTTGGAAATGCTGCAGGTGAGTCCTGGAGGCAGGGCCGTGGTGAGAGTGAAACCTGTAACCAGAAGGGCCCAGGCATTTCACTAAGAGGAGAGGCCACATTCAGTGCTTAATCCCCTTAGAGTGAATTGCAGAGCCCAGCACTTTAGAGCTACCCATTCATCTAGGGTACTGGAGCATAACCTGATTAGCATTGACTCCCTGGAGCTAACCCACATCATTTCCCAACTAAGGAGGTTTGTCTGTCTTTACTAATAATCCTAATTGACATGCTATCTAGCAGCCAAAGAATAATTGTCTTTGTTGAACCCATCCAGGATATGCCTGGACTGGAGGTGATCAATTAGTTGTCTGCCCAAAAGTCTGGGCCAGGAGATGAAGGGAGTCCTTTGCTACGGAATTGGGACCCCCCTCCCCCACTCATGGAACTCTTCAGAGAATGACAGCTGTCTCTCAGGATAGGCATTCTCAAATTGTGATCTGAAGAACAACAGTATTAGCATTGCAATCAGGAGTTCTAGGACCTAGCCCCAACTCCAGGGATTGAACATGTTAGGTTGAACCATTTGCTCCAATACACCAGTCTAGCAAGTCTGTCAAATTCATATAGAGATACCTCAGTGGAATTGGTGATAAAAGTTATTTAGTGTCCTTTTTTCATTCTTTCTTTTCTTTTTTCTTTCTTCTTTCTTGCCTGCCTGCCTGCCTGCCTGCTTGCTTGCTTTCTTTCTTTTTCTTTCTTTCTTTCTTTCTTTCTTTCTTTCTTTCTTTCTTTCTTTCTTTCTTTCTTTCTTTCTTTCTTTCTTTCTTTCTTTTTTTCTTTCTTTCTTTCTTTCTTTCTTTCTTTCTTTCTTTCTTTCTTTCTTCACAATCATGCTATATAGTTCAGAATGGGTTCAAACTTGTTTCTCCTGTCTCCATCTCTAGATTGCTATGATTGCAGGTGAGTGTTACCACACACAGTCTATTTGGTGTTCTAATCATTTAAGATTTAAAAATTCCATTTAGCCAGATTCATCTTATTTATCTTCAGTTAGTTTTTCTCCCTTATTGCTACTCACTCCTCCTGGTAAGACCTCCTGCCATATGGTTGACTGAACTACATTCCTGAGGTTTTTTATCAAGAGCCAATTCAGAGTACTGGAACCTTCTATCTTTATTTTGGGTAGGCAAGGATATTAGACTGAAGGATGTGGAGGGTGGAAACAAGGGCAAAGAAAGGGGTTCTAGAAAATATTCCCCTCTCCCTACAAAGACAAAATTAGAGTCCTCTGAGGTGGTCTTGGACATTTTGTAGGAAATTTGACTCACACAAGGTCTCGCCCCATCTGGAAATACCACTGACTGCCATTTTGCTTAGGTTTTCAAACTGTTATTACCAATAAATTTATAAATATTTATCTAGGAAGGTATTTAGGTTTATAGCCACTAATTTAACTCTAGTTTCTTGACTGTCTTCAGAATAGCTTGGCGTGAGCAAAGAAATGTCCATAAACAGACGATTGTTGCTTCTGACAGTCTGTAAGTTGAAATGGAGGTCTCTTTGCTTAGCCAAATTAATACCTATCCTGTTGGTTCTCTTCCTGCAGCAAGAACGGTGTGGCTTGGATCTTCGACACATCACAGTGGTGGAGCTGGTGGGTGTGTTCCCCAAACTCGTTGGCAGGATAAAATCAAAGATGATGCCTCCAGCCCTAGCTATGCAGCTCAGGTAGGAAAACCTAGGAAAGTTCTCTCCTTAAATTTGATCCCCTGTGAAGGTACAAGGATCTGATCAGGTTCTCTGATTTCTGTATTAGATTCAGGCAACCTTTAATGTTCGAGTGGTTTTGTGTTGGGAGTATTATAACTGCACTAATTGGCATACGGCCACTTGTCCAAGTAAATTATGTAGTGAATAATTACCAGAGTTCTCTTCTTCCATCTTCAAATAAGTGTTTTTCTTTGCATTCTCTCTCTCTCCCTTTCCCTCTCTCACTCTCTCCCTCCCTCTTCCTTTCCTTCTTCCTCTCCCTCTCCCTCCCTTCGTCCCTTCCCCTCCTCTCTCTCCAAATAAAGTACCTAAGCAAATTCCATTAGAACAGTTTTACTATTTCCAGAGGTTAACTGTAGCCTTTGAGAGCATATGTAGAGTTACTAATACCTCTAATTGAAGCCTGAAAAGGTCGATTGTATTTCTATCTAAAAATTTATAGTGAATATTCTCAAAGTAGGCTATATAGAATGACTTGCTTATACCCCATGTCAATGAATTTTTAAAAACTTATTACAGAATTTGCTAAATGGTCTTTGGATAACACCCCTTCTCATATATATATATATACACACACACATATATACACATATATAATATATAAACACATGCATACATAAATGTATATTTATATATGTTCTGTACTGTATATGTATATCACCACAGACCTGCTTACTTTACCATTCCTGTATTTTTCTGGACACCCCCACACAACCATTGTAGAAATTCCCTCCAGAAAGTTACTCCTCCTCCTCTTAAAGATACAGAGAAATTTAGTTCTCTATTGCCACCTTGTTTACCTCCTCCTTGCATACATACGTGGCCTACATTCATGTGTTCCAACTCATTAGTGCTAAGTCACCTATTCCTGATCTCATCATTGTGATGACTGAAACTATGCCCATAAATGGCCAAATGACTGCTGGGGATTAAAATCACCACTGCTGATAAACATTGATATAGTATTAGTGTGTGTATGGTTATGTGAAACTAGTCTACCAACTTGGATTGACCCCAGATCAGTGACCCTCAAATCTGTTACCCTTATACATGCTATATAGCAACTACTTGTGCATATAGCACCATTGCAAGCCTAAAATCCCCTTGACCACAATCTAAAGCAGAGTTTTCCATCCTTTGATATATAAGCTAATAGTTCCAGTATCTTGCTAATAACAGATTTTAATTTGTTAGGTTTGGAGTGAAATGTAAGATTTTCCTTTCCGAATCATGTGATGCTGCTAGTCCAAAGATTACACTTTGAGTAGCACAGGCCTAAAAGATGATTCAGTCCTTCATAGTATCACGCCTTTCTCTGCATACAGTGTCACTGTGGGCCTCTGGTTGGCTCAGCAGAACTCATGGAAGTTGGAGTTTGACATAGCCTTCTCTTCTTTGTCCGTTCCAGGCTGTTGCTACGAATCCCACTCTATTCCTACAGCATGGTGCTAGTGGATAAACAGGGCACAGACAAAGAACGCTACATCTCCCTGGTGACACCCAAGGCCCTCTTCAACCTGATTGACACTCTTGCTTTGAGAAAAGAGGAGATGGTCCTGCAAGCCCAAATGGGCCAGAGCTGTTAACAACTGATGTGTTGATGTTCTTTTCTCTGTGGTTCCTCTTCTCTTTTCTATATAGTGCTGTGCACATGGGAAGGCCTTCAAAATATCCTTGATGTACAGATTTTTATTTGTAATTTTTAAAGTCTATTTTATTATGCACTTTCTTTGCCCTTAAAAATTGGCAGCAACAATGCTCACTAAGAAATGTACTCATTACCTTGCTCATGTAACTGTAACCTTTCTGTACAGCATTTTTATAATAAAAATGTACAAAAATTGGCATTTTTTTACTTTGAAACATTTCAAAAATTTATATGAATATATTACTGTTTTTTATTCTCTCTTTTCTCCATTGTGGCTGATTAACTTTGTAGAGAAATTAGAAACCAGACTTACACACTACTTTGAACCTGTTACTCAATGTGACACATAACTTTCTTTGCTCTTGTTGTTAATATGCAAACTTTTGTTAATAAAATATTTTGGAGCAAATTGATTAAAATACACTTTGTTTATTAAGCACCAGTCAGTCCTAACCAGTGTATTCAGTGGCTTTAGGACTATGACTCTTCATCATGTTTTAGAAACAGACAAATGAGGTCTTGTTAGGAGCTCAGCTGAGCTCTGTGAGTTCTTAGTCCTCATGTGGCAGAGTAACCAGTTAATAAAAGCCAAAATAAAAAATGAAGGGTTTAAGCCTTTAATCACGTAAGCAATGGTTTAAGCAAGAGTCTAAACCTAAAGAAAATGTTGACTCTTCCTGTTCAGTTTTCTACCCCCTGTATTAGTACACTGGCTGAGAGCCAGAAGCAACATTCATGCAGAGGGCTAGGACTGAAATAGTACTGAGTATTGAGTTAGACTCAGAGAAAGTGACTTCTAAGTCCTTTCCACTATTTCCAGAAAGAGAAGTCAGAAAGCATACCTGAAGACTCCTGACTACGCCTCAGATTTAAAAGCCAAGAAATGGCTGGGCACCAGTGACTATAATTTTAGCTACAAGGAGGCTAAGATCTAGAGGATCGTTTCAAAGCTAGTCCAAGCAGAAAAGTCCTTAAGACTCCATCTCTAATTAATCAGCTAAAAGCAGGGCTACAAGTATAACTCAAATGGTAGAGTATCAGCTGAGTAAACAAGGTGAGTGAATGTGAGATGGTAAATTCAAAGCATAATACCACTACCACCAAAAAAAAAACAAAAACAAACCTCAAAAACCCAAGTGCTGGCCACTAGTGGCTCACACCTTCATCCTAGCTACTCAGGAGTCTAAGATTTGAGTTCAAAGCCAGCCCAAGCAGGAAAGTCCATGAGACTTTTATTCCTAATTAAACACCAGAAAACTGGAAGTGGCATTGTGGCTCAAAGTGCTAGAGTGCTACCCTTTAATGAAAAAGCTCAAGGATAGCTCGCAGGCCCTGAGTTCAAGCCCCATGACTGACACAAAAAGCCAAGAAATGAAGGCAACAGAGGGAGATATTTATTTTATATTTATATATTTTTATATTTATATTACATTTACCTTGTATGAGATACCATATGCCATGTAAAGATGATTTAAATACATACATAAGAGGATGTGCATAAGTGATAGACAACTGTATTCCATTCTATATATAAAGAAGTTGAGTGCCTACAGAATTATGTATCTTTGGGGTTCCTGGACCCAATCATTCATGGAGTTTGTACATGAAAGGAAAGATTTGATTGGACAGAGGATTTCTGACTCTTCAACTGCAATTCCTCACAGAGACTTCAATGCTGTGTACCATGTATTATTGTGAGGAGGGCAGCTTACTTTATGATGTCTGCCTCTATCTGATAGTTGCAAGTCTAAAAAAAAGATGTATGTTGGTTTTAGATTTTTTTTTAAACTCTGTATGTCAGAACTGAGATTTGGGCTTGCTAGGCTGGTGCTTTACCACTTGAGCCATGCCTCCAGCCCTGTTTTTCACTGGCTACTTCTGAGATAAGGTCTTACTTTCCACACTGATGGGCACCTGAGCTACAATTCTCCTACTTAAGGCTTTCCATCATTGTTGAGATAATAAGCCAGGGCACTGCATCCAATTTCTCTCCATGGTGATGGAGTTTCTTTGACTTTTTCTCCTGGGCTGGCCTGGAACTATGATTCTCCCAATCTCAGCCTCCTGTGCAGCTTTGGATAGCAGATATACAAGAGGTAGGAAATGAGAAGGGGTTGCCATATGCCCCCACTGGAGTCAAACTGTGATCCTTCTGATTTCAAGCCTCCTAAGTAGCTTGGATTGTAGGTGAAAGCCACTGACACTTGGCTAACACAATGTGTTTTTAACTGGGAGTTAGAATAACTCTGTCAGGCAAATATTTCCTCCATTTTCAGAACACCATTTTGAGTCACAATCTACCTTCAGAATAAATAAAATAATGAAATTAATGGTGGAAAGCTCAAATTTAAACATACAGAAAGGTTTAAAACAGGAAGAATAATTAATTGACAGTAGTTTGAAGATTAAGCAGAGCATTTGCTGAACTATGACTAGGTTTACACATAGCTTATTCTCCAGTCATACTAGAAGCCATTGTTTGACTTGTGTCTCCTTCAAATATGTCAGACAGAGGGTAGTGACATGAGTGGGCGGAAATGTCTTATAGTAACTAGCCTGACAAACTAGCCAATTTCCTTTGCCCTGCAGCCTGTTTTCTTTAAATCAGTCTTCCAGATTAATTTGGAATACCACAGACATTTTGCCCAATAAAATACATAGATTATTTGAAGATTATATGAATGAATTACCTGTAGTATTGAAAAAACATGTATCACAATTTTGGGGAAAATTCTAAAGATTTATTTAACAAGGTGCTAATGTAGTTTTCACAATATTTTTTTTGCTGCCAGTCCTGGGGCTTGAACTCAGGGCCTAAGAGCTGTACCTGACCTTTTTTTTTTTCTCTCAAGGCTAGCATTATATCACTTGAATCACAGCTCTGCTTTCAGCTGTTTGGTGGTTAATTGGTGATGTCTTGATGGAATTTCCTACCCAAGCTAGCTTTGGATCTCAGTCTCCTGAGTAGCTAGGATTACAGGCATGTGCCACTGACCCCCCGCTTCACAGGATTTATTATACCAGTCCTGGGGCTTGACTTCCGGGCCTAGGCACTGTCCCTGAGCTTCTTTTGCTCAAGGCTAGCACTCTACCACTTGAGCCACAGTGAAATTTACAGCTTTTTCTGTTTATGTAGTACTGAGGAATCAAACCCAAGGCTAGGCAAGCACTCTACCACTAAGCCACATTCCCAGCCCCACAGGATTTTAAAATATGTTTTTGGACCATATAGTCTCTAAACTGGATGCTGGTGGTTTATGCCTATAATCCTAGTTACTCATGAAGCTGAGACCTGAGAATTGAGATTTTAAGTCATCCTGGGCAGGAAACCCCATGAGACTTACCTCCAATTAACTACCAAAACCGTGGAAGTACAGCTGTAGCCCAAGTGTAGTGTGCTAGTCTTGAGCACAAATGCTCAAAAACAGTACCCAGTACCAGGCTCATGTGTACACACACACACACACACACACACACACACACACACACACACACACACACACACACACACACACACACACACAGCTCCTTGTTCAGGCACACACATAAGGAAGGGATAGGCAGTTAAATAGGTTAACTCAGAATACAGCCTCTCCTTCAGTAGATGGCAGCTGAAGTCTTAGTCATTTTTATGGTTTTTTTTTTTTTTTTTTTTTTAGATTGCTTGTAGTCTGCTCCCACTTTCAGTCTGCACGTGTGTTTCAACAATCAGTCAGAAATTTAGGAAGTTTGTATATAGAACCAGAGGAAACCTCGGACACAGGTTCCTCCTGCCCCGAGATTTTCCTCCTCAATTTTCAGTTTCTATTGTTGTTCTTACTCTCTTTTGGGTTTTCAAAGTAATAAGACTATAGATTTCCTATCTTAATTTAAATCTCCGTCTAGCATACTGCCCTTTGTTAAGCTTCCCTTAAACTACTGACTCATCAAGATTATTTGTTGTCTTCCAAATAATGATTGTCTCAAGTATTTTCCTGCTTTTTTGGTTGCTATTCAATTGTTTCGGGTAGTGTTCTTTTTTTTTAATTTTAATTTTAATTTTTTGTGAACATACTGTACAGAGGGGTTACAATTACATGGGCAAGATAATGAGTACATTTCTTATCAAGCATTGCAGCCTCCTCCTTTGTTTACCCTTCACATCCCTTCCCAGCCCCCCCACCCAATCCTCTCCCCCCCCACCAAAGTTGTAAAGTTCGTTTTCGACATACAACTTGTACTTCTCGTTGTTGCAACAGGTCCACCTGTATCCTTAAACGACTGTATTTTAATGTTTTTTTCTTTAATGCATTTGTTTCTAACGCATTTATAAGATTATTTCTTTGTTGCTTTGTATGTCCCTCCCCAAGTCGGGTAGTGTTCTTTGGTTGTTGTTGTTTTGCCTGTCTTGGGGCTTGAACTTTAGGCCTGGGCACTGTCCCTGAGTATCTTTGCTCAAAGTGAGTGCTCTACCACTTAAGTCACAGTACCACTCTCAGCCTTTTTTGAGTAGTTTATTGTAGATAAGAGCCTCACAAAGTTTCCTGCCCAGGCTGCTTCGAACTGTGACCCTCAGATCTCAACCTCCTGAATAGCTAGGATTAAAGGTGAGAGCCACTGGTACCCAGCTGGTAGTGTTTTTTATATGGTATCATGATGATTAAATCAACTTGATTGGATTAACCATTCTTCTAGGTGTTTTTATGAGGCTATGTTCAGTGACAATTAGGTCATGAGGTCTCTGACCTAAGGAATCCCTTGATTGATTCCAAATATAATGGCATCATTGGGAGGTAGTAAGGTAGGAAATGAGGTCGTTTGAGAAAATAGGTTATTGGGGACATGTCTTTGGGGGTCTATATCGTGTACTGGTCTCTTTATGTATTCCTCATTTTCTCTGCTTCCTTTTTCAACAAGATGTGAGCTGCTCTGCCATGCATAATCCGCCATGCCTTCTGGAACATCTAAGTTGTTTGCATCATGTATTTTATCACAGTGAAGCATAAGTAAATGATATATTTTATCCAGATACATTTATTGTGTGTGGAAGATTGGTCCAATAGGAGCTTCTTGACATTTATCAGAAACTTAGTGAAGAATTGACCACGAGGTAAAGGG